AGTTTGTAAGGATCTATTTATCACCTTCAGGTTGGTGTTGGTCATGGAGCGGCATTACCTGAAGAACCATTGAAAACCTAAGAGCACTGGACAGATGTTTCGTCCCAGAAGGGGATTCGTCAGCAATGCTCACTGACGAGCCTTAAGTGGTGATCTCCAAGAGATATAAACCTACTTCATGTAGTTTGTGAATAATTTGGAGATCAGTAGCACACACCATGGTACAACGATACATTGTAGCTAGGTAGTCAAATTTTATTGGTTTTACAGCATTTGGCTTTGTGAAGAGAATATTAGTAGACAAACCACTTAGGGACTCAGACAAAAATGATATGACTATCTGTCTGGTTTTTGTTCTACTAACAACTAGTGAGGTTCTGGTTGCGCACATTGCTGGGCAGTTTATTACTCATAATTTTCAGTTATGAATTTAGATTCTGAATTCCGCTTTACATTAACACTTAACGGTACTTCATACGTATATCTTTAGAAATACTTAGCATATCTAAAACAAATTAGGAGTAGATAGTAAACTTTTTTCATAGGTGTACAATAATTTCCAGGTTCTAGAACACATGGACGCTTAGCGACGCCCGACAATAGCTGTATTTTTCGGTCTGTAGGTGGCACTTGATTCAGTCAATCGAGAAGTCATATGACAATGTCTCCCACTAAAAGGGTTACCGTGTAAGTACATCACCTTATTGAATGCTCTTATCTCAAATACCTGTTCGCGTGGTAGAGCCCATAATGAGACATCAAGTGAGCTATGTACGTCAAGTGGTGCCTGTCAAAGATGCTCACTTTCTCCATTACTAAATAATTTTACCATAGACGTTCTTATGGAAGTCCACCTTTCATCATCTGACTACACAGGGATTGACCTAATCACAGGAGAAATTTTGGTAGACCTACAATATCCATACCGAGAAGTAATTTGGCCGTTGCTTCAACACTACGGAATACCACAAACCTTTATCAATCTCATTCAACAACTATATGCCAAGTAATTCACAATGGGAAGCTCAGTGATGCTTTTGAAGTAAAGACAGCAGTGAAATAAGGCTGTCTACTATCACCCATGATATTCCTGATTGTAGTGGACTGGATCGTGCAGCAGACAACAGTGAGGAGCAAGAAGAGGGGATACGCTGAACCGCGGAAGAGAACTTAGAAGACTTGGATTTCGCCAACGATGACTTGTGTCTGGTGTCACACAAACTTGAAGATCTACAGGTGAAAACTAACAAGTTGGCAGAAGAGGCAGGGCAGGGCAGCGAAGACGGGACTTCAGGTGAATATAGAGAAGACAGAAGTGATGAAGATACCCAACCAACAACAACAACAAGCTCCAGTCACCATCAACTGGAGAAACTCGAAGGAAGTAACTTCCTTCACCTATCTAGGAAGCACTGTTTCAACTACAGACAGCACAGATGAGGATGTCAAAAACAGGATCGGAAAAGCAAGACAGACGTTCATTAACCTGAAACCGGTGTGGGGATCGTCCGCACTCAGCATGTGGAACAAGATACGGATTTTCAACACCAGTTCAGTCAAGTCACTGGTGCTGTGTGATGGTTCAGAGACTTGGCGTGTTACGTAAGGGATTTCCAACAAATTACAGACATTCATCAACAACTGCCTACACTGGTTCGTTACTGAAGCTCAGATCAGATGACCAGGATAATAAGAATCAGCAACAAGGAGCTCTGGGAACGAACCAACCAAGAACCTATCACTCAACAAATATGCAGAAGGAAGTGGGAGTGGAGATGGATTGGGCATACACTGTGGAGGCCGACTCGGGACATCACGCGTCAGGCCAGGTCCTCGAGTGGAACCAGATGGGAAGTGACGAGTTGGGCGTTTGAGGTGAGGGTGACATGGAGGCGGTCGTGCGAGGAGGAAATGAGAGCTTGTGGGCTGTCACGGAGCCAGGTTCAAAAGATTTCACAGAACAGAGTTCACTGGAGACGTGCTACTGAAGCCCTATGTTCCATTAGGAACACAAGGGACAAATAATAATGATGAATACAATATCCACATGACAAAGCGCTGTTAGACGAAGACGCTGACAAGATGCAGCGTCTTTTGGACACTTTTAATGACACTCTTAGAATGTTTTAGAAACGTTTCATGCGGCCAAAATGCAGACTGTTTCTTGAGGACTAGTCTTCAATGGTGCCCTGGCTAACAGTAGAGAGTGAAGTGGTTGAGTGCGTTGAACACTTCATCTACCAAGGAAGTAAGGTCAGCACTGGTGTGTTTGGCAGTGGTCGACAAAATCTCCACACAAATATAAAAGACTCAAGTGCCTTTTGTAAACATACGCCATCTGTGGCGCCACCACATTATCCCATTATCCATTAAGGGTTGACTGCACTGTGCTACAGTTCACTCTGTTACAATGAATGGTTGTGAAAAGTGGGCATTAAAATCTGGGGACAGGATAGGACTGTTGGTGTTTGACCACCGTTACTTATGTAGCATAGACCATGTTTCGTGGTGTCACCACTTGAGTAAGGCAGAAGTCAGGTGTAGGCCAATTTACTTTACTTATGATTTCCTGTCAAAAAGTCGAATCTGCTTCAACTAACCAATCATTCTTTGTCTCCTATGGGCCTTCTCACAAATATTTCTTATTCTCTGCAAAGATGAAGTATTATTCACTAGGTCAGCAGATTCAGATAGCACTACACAAGATAATGAAAGCTCAGTCCTTAATGCAAAAGCCTAATTTCAAAGTTACTTTTTCGTTTGACGCCAATGAGAATGCTGCTGTGTCCCTGTTAGTAGAACAAAAACTCTCTTTGTCTATGTTATCTGCAGTGATTTAAAGGAGGAAAACAGCTACTCTGTTTTAAGGTGTTCTGATGCGCATTAAAAATGCAGAAGCAAAATCATCGGTTACCTAACAGCGCACCATCTGACTGGAAGTAATCCTGATATCGAAGAGTTTTAATCACTATTGAAGAATAGATTAATTCATCTACCCTATAGTATGAAATTTACATGAATTTTATGAAGAGATAATCATTGAACAAGTAGCCGTATGCAGACAGTATCAGTAGTTTTTAGCTTGCATCTCACCTTCTGTGAAACTCATCAAAGGGTGTGTTCATCTGTTTGAACTAAACCTAGAGTATGATGTTAGATCTTATAGTTTTCGTCAATTATTAAAGCCAACTAACTGGCTTTAACTGTTAAATAGGCTCCTGTGAAGGTGCTTTGATATCACTAGATAGTGGGGATTCGTCAGATGAATGTGTCTACCTCTCACTGAATTGTGTTATTCTTGCTGAGACTACAGCACAACACTAATCTCTCCAAGAACGTTATCCACTAGGCTACTGAGTCACAGAACTTCCAGCCTTAGCGCCAAACTGTATCCATCATTCAGGAATTGGCTATCGTGACTCAGTCACCTGGTGGATAATACCCTAACATTCAAATGAATGGGTGGTACTTTCGAATCCACACGGGGACAACATCACTCGATGAGAGGCAGGTGCATTCAGCTGAAGAGCCTCAAATAGGACGAGACGCATGTTCTGAATTCCACACTTAAAGTAACCCTGAGTCATTGAGGAATACAACTGCAATGTGTATAGCGTAAGAAAATGCTGCTGCTCAAGGGTTTACTCAACATTCTCGATATCAGATTTGGAAGATCTTAGTTACAGTCTAAAGCTTTACATTACTTGAGATAAATTCTCATAAGGTGGCTTACACTCAGTTCACGAATTAACTAATCGCTTTTGTGTTATTCAAAAATTTGTACAAGCTAGGTATAGCTAAGTTCCTCATTGATGTATATTTTCGCTGTATCACGAGTGAGCACGAGAACCAAAAAGAAATGAATCGTATAACTGACACCACTACCAATAAAAACAAACAACATGAGTTGATAGGGCCCTAAAAATCAGCTGTCAGGTGCTGTGTAATTACATTGATATGATATGAGGAATACTAATTTACGTCCGAAACATCAACAATTAAGTAATACTGTATCTCTGTGCGCTATAAAAAACAGACTAATCTAATATGGAACCACATTATATCCAAGTGTCCAAGTTTTACACTAATATTGTTGAATACAGAGGCTATCAAGAAGCGTAGAATCTTTCTTATCCTATATCTTATGCAGTAGTGAGCATTTTTAGTCCTCTTTTAATGTGCACTGGCCATACACCATTACAGCCGACGTCTTCTATTCAAGGTGATAAGAAGATGTTAAATTTGTCCACCTAAAACCAATGTTTGCACTAAAATCACACGAAATTGAGTAATAACAGGTCTGTGATGCTTTTATATGTCCGGGGTCATACGTGCGCAACAATGACAGTGCCAGGAAGTTTGGAAACCTGGCACAAAAAGGTTGGGTAAACTGTTTCGACACCTACATAACTAGAATTGGGGCTTGCAAATGTTGTCCGTGAACAAGGAATCCCTGGTAAGTACAGGTCATTAACTTGCGCTGATTAAGTCCTTGACCTTTTGTACACACTGCCCGTTGCTATTATTCATTGAATGGTCTAGTAAAGACGTTGGGTTGGTGTCGCTGAAGTGATTTGCCGCTAGACTGATGCTGACAAGACGACCTAATTTGACTATTTAGAGGAAGTAAAAGTCGTAACAATGTTTTCTTAGGTAAACCTGTGGGACGGTCCTTACCATATATATAAAAGAACCAAGGTGAGATGGCTCTCATGTTTACCTATGCAAAATGTGTGGGTTACAGGTCCATTCTCATGCCAACAGTATAAAGGTACGGTGTGCTAAAACATGCCGGTTAAAGGAATTTCGAATTCATTTTTTGATGTAAGGTGTGCGCTATACAAAGTTATTACAACTGAGCATTGTGTGTGTACCCTTTTTTCGCATATTCTACTCATCAAATTTTCTAACGTCAAGTCTCCAACTTCTGTTTTTCTCTTTGCTAAAAATTTAGTACTTCGAGTTGTGTATTCGTTACATGCTACTAGAAAAACAGAAAAATGGGTAATATATTAGGATCCAGAAAAAAATTGCCAAAAGAAGACTTGGAATTCTTGAGAACGAATACAAATTTCACCAAAAAACAAATTAAACAATGGTATCGAGGATTTATAGTAAGTGGTGTCAATAATATTGATATATGCCTGTGATAAGTTTGCTTGCTTACTTCTCTTATTGACAGAATGCGTTCACAATCAATTTCTAGTCGATTCAATGATAATAACAGACCCCCCCCCCACAATATCGACAACTATTGACAAGGACTGCTAAATGTGCTGATTTATGAACTGTGCCTAGAGGGATTGGCTTTGCTGAGCAGGTATGTAAAGTGCAGAGTAGTTACACGTCTGAAGGGGTACAGTTTGAACCAAACCACCTATGTTCGAAATCCCAATGGTTAGGAAGTGTAACTCACTAGTTACCGTGTTGTTTTATGTTAGTCCTAGTGATCTTGGAAATAAGAATAGGCAACTAGGATCCTATGTAAAATCTGATGGTGAGTATCCAACTTGGTACAAAAATATCAAAGTTGAATTAACCACTGCTTAATTATATTTTTTCGCTAAAGTCATTTATTGTTTTACTTGAAAGTTTATCGACTAGTTCAATTCTATTTTTTTGGCAAGTGAGTTACAAAATCTTAGAATGTACTGTATGCGAATCAGGTACACGATTGCCAACGACACTAGTGATATTCGTATTGTGAGTATGTTTTTTGTGAGGTAAATACCGATTATGAAGGCATTTTTAAAAAGGAAATTGAGACATAATGACCTAAGCCGGAAATTAACGTTGAGAAAGATTTCACATAAACGGAGCCAGTAATTCCTGTGTTTTTGAATATTTCAGTGAGGAACATGATTAAGGTATGCAGAGTATAAACCGACACAACTACATTTTATCTGGAGGTCTGTAAAGGTTTGGAATTTATCATGGACTGACATCAGTTGGAGGGATATTGGAAACATGTGAGCTCTGGACATCTGTTTCGTCCACGTATGGGATTCCTTAGCAGTGCGCACCTATGACCCCGCACTGCTGAGGTGTCCCATACAAGGACGAAACAGCTGTCCAGTGATCCGAAGTTTGCAATGTTCCTTCAACAACTACATTTTGGCCAATAAAGCCTTAAACTGAAAAAATATTTCCTTCCATCACATTTACTTATTCCCACCTCAACGAATAAGGGTTGTATGAGAGACAATAGATCTAAAACCGATGGGATTGTGTAACCAAAGTAAAAGCAACACCAAGCCCAAGAAGTGATGTACACATAAAGCGATTTTCAGAAAGTGTAAAATCTGAGTAGTTCAGGCTTTTTATATTGCTGCTCAATGAAAAATGGTCAATTAAGTCGAACTTCAATAAGATAAATAGTTTGAGGTGATGTTGTTTCATAATTTCTCTACGGCTGTAATAATAGCTACAGCTACAAACAATAAGTAGTAATGATAATAGTAATATGCAGTGTATACAAGCACAAGGATATTCACAAAGCCATATGGATTTGATTTCACCAGACACCAGGACACTCTACACTGAAAACCAGATCGACTTCATCTAAATGTGAATAAAGTGGAGACTCAGTCACCCTACTGGACACAAGATCCGATGAGATGAAGAAGGGGAGCAGATGTAGGTTCACACCACTCACTATTTGGTGCGAGGAAGTTACCTTCCAAATCAAGTTGAAAGCCTTCACAGAAGTTGATGATAGACCACAGTTGAAGTTGAACACCCAGAACAGAAACTGAAGGACGAAACTTCAAAAGACATCTTCACATCAGTCATCAGGAAATAATGAGCGACATTAAGCAACATGCCTGAAGAAAGCTGTATGGAAGAAAACTGGAACTCTTTGAAAGCTATGTGAAAAGAAACCTGCATAACCATATTAGGAAGGAAGAAGAAAGAAGATAATAAATGAAATGGATCTCGATGGACACATGGAAGCTTATAGATGAGGGGAGGATGGTGAAGCAGAAGATAAACCAGTGCAAGGATGAACAACGAGAAGAGAAACTGAGTACAATGTATAAAACACTGGACAAAGAAGTGAAGAAGAGTGTACGGAAAGACAAAGGACACTTCTACGACACACTGGCAAGTAAAACAGAAGAGGCTGTAGGTAGGAGTGACCTGACAACATTGCATCAAATAACCAAAATACTATCTGGAAGGGGAGAGATCAACACAGATGACACCAATGAAAGATGGTGAAGGAAACCTAGTTACCAAAGAAGAGAAACAAACAAAACAAAACGATAGACTGGCCACTTCAAAAACTGTTGAATCGACCACCACCACCTACAACTCGTCCAGAAATACCACCAGCAGCCCAGCCACGGAATTATCAGTGAACACAAGCACTCTGACAAAAGCCGAAGTCCTCAGTGCCACGCTATAAAGTTGCTGAAATCTGGAAAGCAGCATGACTAGATGGAATTCCGCCAGAAGCACTAAAAACAGACGCAAAGACAACAGTGGACACTCTCACACCACTATTGCAGAAGGTTTGCAAGGAAGAAACGAAAGGTACCTGGGGATTGAAGAAGGGCTACCTTGTCAAAATCCCAAAGAAGAGTTGGCGACATAAGTTTTTGCAAGGACTGGCGCGGAATCGTGCTACTGGCCACCCCAAGCAAAATATCATGCCGTATCGTCCTGGAGAGACTGTGAGATCCTCTGGATTCAAAATTACGACCGGAATAGGCTGCATTTTAGGAAGTACACATCATGTGCGGATCAAATTGCAACGCTATGCCACTCACCATCATAGAACGGAGCATAGAATGGCAGTCAACTCAACTCTACATCAACTTCATCGATTTTGAAAAGGCCTTCGACAGCGTCGACCGAGAAGTAATTTGACAGTTGCTTCAACACTACGGTTTTACTCCCACAAACCTTTATCAACCTCACTCAGCAGCTGTTTGACGACGCCACATACCGAGTGATTCACAGTGCAGGGCTCTGTGATGCGTTTGAAGTGAAGGCAGGAGTTAGACAAGGTTGCCGCCTACTATCACCCATGATCTTCCTGATTGTGGTCGACTGAACTGGACTGGATCATGCAACAAACTGTGAGGAGCGAGAATAGGGGTATACGCTGGCTGAACCAATGGAAACACCATCGAAGAAGATTTGCATTTCGCCAACGATGATGATTTATATCTAATACCTTGTAGCACAATCTCGAAGATCTGCAGGCGAAGACCAACAAATTAATAGACGAGGCAGCGAGGACGGGAATTCCTTAAGATGAACGTAGAGAAGACAGAGGTGATGAAGATACCCAACCGACAACAACAACATTCATCAATCACCGTAAACGGGAGAAATCCAAACGAAGTTATCTCTTTCATCTACCCACCTACCAATGCAACGTCATCTCAACTACGCGCGGCACAGGCACAGATGAGGATATCAAAGCCAGCATCGAAAACACAGTAAGACAGGCCTTCCTGTATTAATCTCAAATAATCAGTGTAGAGATCCACTCCACTGCATGAACAACATTCGGAGTTTCAACTTTAAGTCAGTCAAGTAAGTCAGTGATTCCATGTGATGGTTGAGAGACTTAGCACCATACGAAAACCATTTCCAACAAACTGCATACATACACCACATGAACAGCTGGCACCCACCCTCACTCCATACTCACACTGAAGATCAAATTGGATCAGATCAGATGGCGAGAATAATAAGAATAAGTAACAAGGAAGTCACTCTGGGAACAAACCAATCAACGAAGGAGGTATCGCCCAACAAATGTGTAGATGAAGAAAATGAAGATGGATTGGATTGGATTAGATTAGACTGGACATACACAGTTGTCGGTTTGTGGACATCACGCATCGGGCCAGTCCAGGCCGTTGAATAAAATCCAGAGGGGAAATGACGAGTTGGGCATCCGAGGTGAGGGTGACATGGAAGATATGGTATGAGTGCGAAATGTGAGGTTGTGGGTAGTGTTGGAACCATGTTGAAAAGAGTGGAGAGAAGATACTGAAATGGCGAAGTGCTATTGAAGCCTTATGTTTCACTAGAACCCAAGGGACAAACACTGAATAATAATAATAATAATAATAGGATAGCAGCTAACTTGCTTGACAAGAATACACTATTCGTTGAAATTTTGTGATTATATAAAGTAACAGGATAGACAAAGAGTAGCATCCATCATTTTCTGAACGTGTAATTCTAGCTGTTTCCATCACTGTTAACAAATTTTGGGCTGAAGTTAAGTAGAACTAGTGGAAACAGCCATTAACACCCACCGTGCGATACTCCTCGTCATCATCACCAACATGGGATTAGACTGGTACATCCAAGTTGAATGTACCGCGCCGGGATTAGAGCTCGCAGGCTGTCGCTTCAAACACCAAAGCGTTACCCACTACACCACCGACTCATAGTAGCCGGTTCTTGTGCGATGGCTATAGTTTTAGTGTAATTGCTTTTATTATGGGCAATATCGAGGCATCCGCACAGGAGCCCGTACACCAACAGAGACTGATCAATTCGGTCCAATCAACGACGGTATAATACAAGCAATAACACTAAACTATACCCATCACACAAGAAGAGGCTATCGTGGCTCGGTGGTGTAGTGGATAACTCTCTGGTGTTTGTAGCGATCGCTCCCTAGTCCGAATTCTGGTGGGAACAACGTCACCCACTAGGAGGCAGGTACATCCAGCTTAAGAGTCCCAAATAGGAGGAAATGCGCATCCTGGATTCCACTGCTAGCCACTACCCATCATTACTATAGATGTTACAATCATTTGAGGGATGTGGTTACTGAATTACACTATAAGTCTTTTATTTAAATCAAATTGTTTCTGAACATCAAGATCTTTGTTAGATCATTTCACACGGTTGATTATATTCACACCTTATTCTTCAGAATATTTGTTTAAAAAGTCGTCTACCCTATCCAGTTTAGTCCATATTTAATTTATGTCCATTCTGTTAATATGGCAAAATGATACATAGAATAAGGAAGAACAAATACATCAAACTTTTATATCCGTATTGAAATGTAGAAAAGTCACACTTACAGCTTAAAGGGACATTAGGTTTCTAAACAGTTGGCCTTTTCATCCAATTA